AAGCATGCTTGTAGCGACAGTGGAGAGGAAAAACTCCCTTTTAACAGGAAGAAACCTCCAGCAGAACCAGGCTCAGTGTGAGCGGCCATTATTATGATTTTGGTAAAATTTCCTAGTAAAGGAAAACTAGCAGCTGCCAGTTAACTGTCTTTGCCTTTGTAAAGTACAAAGATTCCTGGGATCTTAAACATGGCTTGATTAATTATGCAACTTAATGTATATATTCTAGACTGTATGTGCATTTTTATTTAAACAGGGCAGTTTTATGTTTCCTTATCATTTATTTATAGAAAAAACATGATTTTAAATGAATATTTAAACAGTTAAATGAGGCATGGAGTTAGTTATGGATGGATGTTATCTTCTGAAAGCAGCTGCAGGGTTGGGAAGTAAGCAAGGGTTCCAGCTTTAAAACTAATTTGACCCTCAACAAAAAATGGAAAACGACTGATATTATTATGACTTAATATAAATAGGCCAAACTGCATCGGTCGAAGATTTTGAAACATTAAATCCTCAAACAGTAAGACTTCCTCATTTGTCAAGCCAGGTTTTTTGGATCAGCTGCTTTTCTTAGGAAGTCAAATTGTCATCTGAGCAGGGAGGTTTTTTATTGTGCAAACTAACATGTGGAAGAGAGGAACTGGTTTTCCTCGGAAATTTCAAAAGTACTTCAGCCTCAAATGAGGGGCCAACAAAGCAACAGAGAAGTCAGCTGAGAAAGCAACATATTTCTGGTTCCAGAGCCGCCGACTTGATCGTCTTGAGTTCTAGCGTGACCTGATTCAAAATAAACTTGCAGAATACGGGTTTTTCTGTATTGCCTACTGAACAAAGGCCTGTTTGAGAGGTTCACATGATGATAACCTGCAATAAAAACACCACATTTAGAAAGAAAAATCGACATTATCAAAGGGGTATCATTTTAAATACATGGTATTATTTCCTCTGCTCCTATAAATACAGAATAAACTCAATGAATGCGGTAAAAAAAAACAAAAACAACTTTATCAACTAGATTGGTTATGTGCCTGAAGTTTAAAACAGCTTCACCATTATAATACAGACAGGAAGCGTTCCTGTGGTTTTAAGAAGATCTTTAGAATCAATTACTTTAATGTCGTAGTTATAATAAATTCAAAGATCTAGGTCTGGAAAAATGTATTAATTTTGATTAATCAATGATTGAAACATCGACAACTAATTTAGTAATAAATTAATCCTAAACTGGAGTACAGAGACCGTAAAACACTCCTTTAGCTGATAAAGCAACCTACTTAGAGCAGAAATATTAAAATAATAAGAAAATAGATAAACATTCTGCATTTAAGACAAAGAAAAAAAATGTTTTTCGTTGTTAATATGCTCTATCCTAGAAGAGGATTAGCGCCATTGAAAAAAATAAAAAAAAGTTATCTGATTTTTTTTATTTTATTTCATTTTAATATGGGAAAAAAGTCATAATTCTGACTTTAACCTCAGATTTCTGACTGAAAAAGTCAGAAATCTGAGGGAAAAAAAGAGTCAGAATTCTGACTTTTTTTCGCATATTAAACTGAAATAAAGTGTAAAAATCAGTTTACTTAAATTTTTTCAGTGGCCCTAATCCTCTTCTGTACTATCCAGAACCCCTCAAATGGAAAAGTTTTAGTTTCACCTGGTTTACTTTTGTAAAAAAAAAATTTTTAAGAAACCTTTGGCTATTCGATTAATAATCTATTAAACAAAAAATAATTAACAGCTTAATACTTAATACTTTAAATGTAACTAAACAGAAAAATCTTAAGTTTTAAGAGCAGAATTAATTTACATATTTGTAGTTAAGTCTGAATGTCTGACAATGACTTCCTTTATAATATTTTTTGAGGTATTTAAGAAGTGAAATAAGAATACGTTCACCCTGCAGGCCTTGATGCTCAATTCCGATTTTTTTTGGTGAAATATGATTTTTTTACATTACCGTTCATATTTCCAAATATATGCGACTTGTATGTGATCTCCTGTCTGAACTGCAGTCATACGACGCAAGTGTCCCGCATGCACAGCAGAGGACGCAATGACGTCACAGGCCATCGGGTTCTTTTTTCCCGGAAGTAAACATGGATGGTAGCATGAGCGCATCTAGCGATCTTTTTCAACCATAAAAACACAAACTTTTCAATATGGTTAAACATAAATACTGCTGTCCGCATCATCATCATCTGCCATGGTTGTTGTTTTTCCTGCCGCTTCTGCGTAGCAAGACGCAAAATAGTGACGTTTGTCGGTTATTCAGGTCGGATGAATCCGATCTGGCCGTTCAGACACAGGTCGGATTTGAAAAGATCAGATTCGTATCGGATCAGGACCACAGAGCCAAGTGACCTGGATTGGATTGGGGGAAAAAATCGGATCTGTGTTGCTCAGACTGTCATAAAACGATCAGATTCAGGTTGCATGGAAAAAAAAGAATCCGATTTGGGTCACTTCAGGCTGCAGTGTGAACGTAGCCCAAGTCAAGGAATTCATTTTTGTTAACTCATCTGTATGAGAACTTCATTCCCCTGCCACAACACTAGCTGGCATGCTTTTTAAAACTCTACATGCACAGATGGTCCCAGTTAAAAAAGAAACAAAAAACACCTCTAAATAAACCTTCCCAGTAGCAGGAACTCAATTGCTTACACAGCCGTACCACAACGTTTTAAATGTTGCTTCAAGGGGTTTTAAATAAACAAAACCACCAGTGTGGTTTACAAACTTTCACCATTGCTTATGCTGTGTCCATCTGCAAGAGCGCAACCTGAATTTTTCCAATAGACGTGAAGACTTTCACTCAGGAAGCTGCTTCTGAATCACGCCGTAGATAAAACGCTTGCAGGACGAGCCTGATTTGTGCATCTTTAAAGACTTTTTGTATTTTTAAAAAAAACGGCTTTTTAGTTAAAATGCATAAGAAAAATGAATGACATGGAGCAGAGGAGCACTTTAAAGCGCAGGAAACCGTCCACAGTCAGCCGCTGATTAAAACACTGTAGCGGAGACAGATCTTGTGAAAGCAGACATTTATTGCTTGTAGATACCTCGTCGGGCTCATGTCTTCTGAGCCGTGCAAGCGTTTCCAAACTCCAGGGCCGACGAGGCGGATCAATAAAGCGCTGCATTTTGATAAATGGACCAATCGCCTGAGTGACAGTAATCCCATCAGCTTCACCTTGCACCAAGAGGGGCAACATAGTAGCTGTGTGTGTGTGTGTGTGTGTGTGTGTGTGTGTGCAGTTTTTAGAGGTTACCACGCAAAAGCAAGACTCTTAATCTGATGAGTGGATAAAGACCAGGTCTAATGAAAATCTAATCTGAGCAGATGGGCCTCCCCAGTCGGTTATCATCACAAAGGGAAGCCCAAACTTAATCCACTAACAAGGTTGGTCAAAGGACAGGCACCAGGTGTGGGAAGTCACTTAAAGGGAGCAACCGGTTGGCGGTAAAATTATTTTCTAATCAAAAAACAAACCAATGGTAAGTGACTTGAGTGCAACAGCTTGATTGTGTGTTTGTTGTGCAAAACTAGTTGTGTTTACAGCACATATGAAGCGGCATCCTGGAACCAACCGGGCAGCACAGACGAAGAGGTAGGCTCTGTAGCATATGGTGGATGGGGGGGGGGCACTAATGAGGCCTGGCTGGTTTACCAGCTGCAGAGCAACACAACCCTGGCATGTGTGGGATCATTTTTTTCATTCCATCAAAAAGGCGCTGCAGTGAATTCCCATGTTGCTCTGTGGAATGCTGCACGGCAGCTGAGGACTCCAGGAACTCCCACCTGACTCCAGCATCTGCTCACTACCGCTTCATGTACGTTCAAGATGTTTTTGTTTTTTGTCATGTGGGAAACAAAACAAAGGATACAGCCTTAAAGCTCCGGCCTGAGTCCCAACGGCCAGGATTTTCTGGACCGGGTCAAAAGCCATGGAGGATGGTTGATATGGAAAGCCATGACGCACAGTCTGCAGGAGAAAGCACAATTTATATCAGACAGCTAGTCAGGCTAATCTATCATCTCCCACACACTCAAACTCATGATCCCTACAGAAATATAATCCATCAATCTATATTTTTCCACATTTGTCTAACAAACTACATTAAATGTAAAAACAGCAGCACTAAAGTGAGACTAAAGTCATTATTGCAGGGTCATTTTGGTACGCTTGCATCATTTGAACTGCGGTTTATTTCTTAGGGCCTTGCAGAGACCTAGAGCCACTGAAACAAGATTATCACGGGGCATCTATAACGCAATCATTTCAGGCTGAGAACCTTGCTCAGCCGGCCGTGATCTGTCAAACTTGCAGCAGGATTGCGTAACAGGTGATGCCGTGGCCTCGTAACCTGGCAGACTGACCCGCTCCGCTCCCAGCTGGGGAAGGAGCCGCTGGGCTGGCTGGTCATTCATTTAACAAATGTTTCTCCTGATAGTACTACAAAATACACCACATCTAAGAAAAGCATGGAGGAAATGACACATCCTGAGCTCAAGTGTTGTTTTTCTGGTTTGGCAAATCAGCAGCAGCGTTTACTGTGGCTAGTGAAGGTCTTTTTACCCCTTAACTTTGTTGTATATTACTGTTACACAATTCAGTGTGTTTTATTGGGATTTTATGTGAATAAATAATCTGAAAAAGATGCATCAAACAGCATCATGAGGACCTAAAGAGCACCATTCAGGAATTAAGTGGAGAAGTTTGAAGCTGCAAATGAATTAATTAAAGAAGGTCTATTTACGTGTTGCGATGACCCTTTCAATGTCCTGAACTAAATCTGATTCAGAGTCTGTAGAAAGAATTAAAAATGGAAATTTACTGTCACTCTCCATGTAATCTGATCACGTCTATTTTAGAAAGACGACCGGGCAAATATCTCAGTCACTGAGACGTTTAAGCCTGTTAAAAAAAATGAAAATAAATAAAGATTCATAGCTGTAACTGCAAAAAGAAGAGGTTTAACATTTTAACAATTATGGGCAACTGTTTGTCTGGCTTTCAGCAATATCCCAGTAAAATCAACTGAGGTTTAAAATGAAACTTAACAAGAAACAGCTAAAAGATAAGAAGACCAAAAAAATGTGGAAGGCTTGGATTCCCTTGTGATGCAGTGCAAATGCAAACAGTAGTGGACAATGTTTTCCATTGTTAAAATGCAGCAGACATTAATATGAACGTGGGAACAATCACCATTGCAAAAAAGATCCCAGTTTATCCACAAAAAACACATGATCAGAGCTCTGAAATATGCTGTGAGGGGATTTAATCCACAGGCAGCCATGTGGACATTGTACCCTAAAGTGGTGATACTGGGAGGCGAGAAAATAAAGTGATTTAGGATTAAGAGTGTTGGATACTCAGCAATTGATTCTCCATGAATGTGACCATAGATGCTGCTTGTGGTTTGCTGAGCAGAGCTGATGCAGCTGGAAACAATGTTCGCTCGCGCCGCTGTCATCTGACACATTCAATGGCAGCTCTTACCTTACACAGCTGAAAATGTTCCGACTGGAGAGTCTCCAGGACGGCGTCGTTTTCCTTAGGAGTACCAGGCTGAGCGGAGGTGGAGGAGGAAGAGGACGCCGCTGTCAAGCCGTCCAGCACCTTCCTTATGTTAAACTTCTTCATTTTTACAGACGCGACGCTACAAGAAAACAGACCGAGCGAGCTAACATTAATTGGATTGAGTGTAGAGAGGTAGCTGCTAGCTAGTTAGCCAGAATATAACGCACAGTTAATATCTTTCTGCGCTCATTTCACATGTTAACGCGGGTGTTGCCAACGCACTACCTCCAAAAAAAACAAAAAAAAACACCCGAGTCACAAGCATTGGTTTGAGAGTGTCCCTTCCGATAACCGCGTTAATCCGCCATTTGGGAGGCGAGCGTTAACGTTGTTTGATCGGGATCAATCGTTTCGGCGAGCAGCGTTACAAGCCAGCGCTCAGCGGGTAGCGAGCTGGCTACGGAAACGCAGTGAACTGCAGCGAGGACTGCGCATGCGCTGCCGAGTGCGTTTCA